CTAAGAGGAGTATTGTGTGTGTGTGGTGTGTGTGTGCGCGCGCACGTGTGTGTGTTTATATAATATCTCAGAGCAAGCTGTAGTTAGATGGTACAGAATTTGATTCTCACCATCATGTTGGAAAAGTCAGCAGTGCGTGCAGAAAACGACTCAACAGCGATGGTGTTTATATCTAAATCATTTCAAAATGCCACTGATGACATAATTCATCATCCTGATGCCTGGTGCAGATGAGAGACCTGGGCCAGAATTGTATTAGCTGTGGATGTTCTGAGCTGTGTAACAGCCCAGGGGCTCAGTCACACAGTTTGACATGCAGGTGCGTGGAGTGTCCTGCAGCAAACAGGCAGCACTCTTGTCAGAGGTGTACCGAGGCATGACACGCAAACACACACACGTACATATATACACTCACACACACACACACACACAGCCCCCATCATGGCAGCCTTCCACCACAGGAAGGCTGATAAAAATATCACAAGCCCTATCAGGCAATTAAACGTGGAGAGGCAGTGGAGTGTGTTGGCAGCTTAATGGTTTCAGCCTACCCGCAGACGCGCCACTGTGGCTGGCCAACAGGGGGGGATTCAGACCGCTGATAGAGTGGGAAATGAAAAGGTGGGAAAAGTGGTTACATTGGTCTCAGTGAACAGTTTCTCCGCTGTGTGGTTAAGGAGAGGATTTAAAATATACTGTGGAGCAGCATTTTATCGTTTAGAAAGTAGTAAAATGATTGCCCTGCACAGATGAACAATTGTATTATTATTATTATTATTATTATTATTATTATTATCAATACATCTAATAATAATGTTGTTGTTATTATTATTATTATATAATTGATATTAATATATTTATTAATAATAATTGATTCTCTTTATTATTGAAAAACTGTGTTAAAGGAGATAAGTAGCATCTATTCTATATACCACTTAAACCATGTAATTCATTTTACAGCTCTGTGTTGCTTTTTACCCTGATGTCCTGAAACGCCCAGCCCCCCACTCCCTCTTCCCTTCTCCCCACCATGCTTCCCCCTCAGCAGATAGACTCTGTTTCATTATCTCTTAAAAACATGGCTCTATAGTGAGGGAACCCTTTGTAGTCTGAGATCACAGGGACTTGCACCTTAGCCACACTCACTTTGCATGATATGGTGACCCAGTGGCTGAATCAGTTCCAAACTAACAGGACATCATGGAGTCGGTGGACTGGTGATGGACGCTGCACAAACTCAGACGACCATTATCAACTGGCTGGTATCATGTCCCATGTCGGTGCTCTTGTCAAGTCCCACCACAGCAGTGATGTGTCATAAACACCCTATCGCCTCACACAATCTCAGCTAACTGATACAAGGTAGCCTCATGGTGGCGCTGAGCCCCAGTGGGTTTCTTGGTTTTAGTAGTTGTGTGAGACATAAATACAGGACGGAGAGATACAATAAGAACATGTCTCTGTACGTGTTTGTGTGTAGAATGAAATGGTTGCAGTAGAGGATCCAGATAAAGGTGGCGCTGATAGACCTGTCACTTGGATACAGTCAAACTGAAATAAACACACTATATGAAGAGAGGCTTATCCTATGTATTTGATGTTCACATCAAAAATTAGTAATTCATGCTAGAAAGGAAAAATATTTCACAAGAGAGAACAAAGGGCTGTGCTAGCAGAAGGTTTATTCCTAAATCAACAAAGAGAAAAGAGCAGAGAAAGGCTGAGTTCTTCACTTCTCCCATGTCATTTTACTGCTAACTTTACCTTCAAATGTCAAGGATAGAAGTGCCGAAAGCACCTGAGATCTACTATGGTCATAGGTAAATTATAATGTACATATAAGCACATAATTACAATAATAACTATATAGAATATTACTGTACGGAGTACTTTTTTATATCTAAATCTTGTGTCTTTCAACAGTTTCTGCAGATGAGCTCATGTGCCTCTGGGGTGTTTGGGTAGCTACATGCACAGTTGGCAGCAGATAACTCTACATGTTGCCAGTAGTGGTACAAATGTTGGACTTTTAGCAGGCTGTCGATGATTAGGGACACATAGGTAGAATAAATATCATAAATATTCCAGACATTTTTTTGTTTAATGTTTCAGGCTCAGTTCAGTTAAACACGTGAAGACATAATGAGGTGGACAGTGTAGATTTCGTTCTCGTTAAATAAACAATTACAAAACCAAAGATGGAAATAAAAAGGAGAGAAATGACTTGATATGATAGTTCAAGTCAGGGTTGGGTTGTTTCAGCACCATGGACAGCGATATATATTTCTTGTAAAATCTTTGTTTCACTTGCTGCTACTACCGAGTTCTCGATCCTCATTAGTGTAGAAGCTCCTGCCTCTGTCTACTCTTTTTCCCATCAGCATTAGAGGCCAAATAACTGGCTTCTAAATTACCACTGTAATCTTGCAGTTTCTCCCAGTCTGTGATCTACAGGAAAAAGCAAGAATTCGCACAAAGCTGGAATAAGTTGGAAAGCTCCCATTAGTGGACCACCACTCTTCATTTTTCCTTCTCACACTTTTTTCTAATGGGTAAAAAATAAGCCAGGCCACACATCAGAACATTTTGTAGCACTGACAAAGTGACTTATTACTTCTGGCTGTACACTTTCCTTTCCCTTGCTGAATTCATCAAGAGAGCCATGTCGCCCTCAGTAAGGCTGGCACCTGCTGCTGTTAGTCATGCCTATCCTTCTTTCTCTTTCTCTGACCTTGAGACAAAGATAAAGGTATACTGGTCCTAGAAACACCAGCAGCATTCAGTATACCTCTTCAGTGCACACACAAACAATAAAACAGATGAATTAATACACAGCAGCACAGTGGTTTAAGCCGAAACTGACTAGTGATGGAGGGTGAAAACCACATTGCATATCCACATTAATCACAGTTAGATGTAAAAGCCTCTCTGTGGTCCTTTTTTATGTCTCATTAACTTTCAGTCGCTGCTGGACTCTGATTTGTCACATTGTAATTGGGGTCGAAGAGCTATAATGTAGGTTTTCAGTATTTATGTGAAGTGAAACAATAAAAACAGTTATGGCAGCGTTACCAGATTTTCTTACTTTCACTTTGGAGGCTGTGCATTAGCACAGGGTGAATCGGTGCCGTCAATTACTCAGGACAGCGTGCAGTCATTCTGATAGCAAGCTGACGTTATGATGATGATGCATGAAACAAACTATCTACTGTGATCAACCACCTCCACTGGTGGAGCAACCATCCACGGCGGTGGAAGAAGCAACTGCGATAGGTCACGTGATCCAATTAACGACCGTTTTCCACACGGTGATGCACAGACAAAAGATGGAGCATGACTTTTTAATCAAATAAGGGAATGTAATGGCAGTAGAAGGAAGTCATTGTGACTGCTGAACTAATAAGGCAGTAGTTTCCTCCTGCAAGAATCAGCATTCTCAAAAACCTACCGCCCAAAACTCACATAAAGTAAATCCTAATTAGAACTGATGGACCACTTAGATTATAGTCTTGTTCTTCCCATGACCTTGGGCTTATATAAAGAATAAAGGACTTTGAAAGAAAAAGTTTGATCAATCTAAGTAGACACCGCTGGCATTAACACAATGAAAAGCGAGAGAAATCATGTCGCTGGCTTCCAGATGATCCTGTCTAATTCCTGTCAGCAGAACCACCTAATATAACCTGCTGTGTTTCAGCACCGTGTGCCTGTAGGCTAACAGTGAAGTAAGAGAGCACAGAAGAACACCGTTTGCTTCACACCAATTTAGAATCTAGTGACATTTCCCCGTTAGGGTTGTAGCTCATTCCTCACACCTATACTCGTTTTCTGAACACCTGTATGTCTATCACTGTGTAGCTTCCACCTCAGCTTCTGTGTTAGTTCACTCTATAAAAAAAATATAGTTGGACATTCCCGTGTCAGCCCAGTCTTTAGGTAAAGGCAGGGATATCAGGCCAGTACCATTTGCATACAAATTGCCCAGCTGGTACCTTGTTGTTATGACAACACACGGCTCCCAGAAATGGTTTGGAAGTGGAACACAGAAAGGAAGCAGCCACTGAGGGGGGTCATGTATAAAATAAATGTTTTAATGTTTTATTGTTGGTGAAATAGTTTTCTCAGATGTTTGCTGTGCAACAAAAAAAAAAAAGGAAAAGGAGATGGATGGAGAGCAGGATCATTTTTGAAAACACATGTTTGAAATAATAATGTTTAATGAGGTAAAAATAATAATTTAAAATATAAATATAATATCAAACATAATATATGACCTGATCCAATTTCTGTTTTACTGACCTGTTGATGAACTTTCCTCAAACTTCCTTTCTTTGTGTTAACCTGAATTTTTTTTTTTCTTTTTCTTTTTTCTCTGACCTTCATACAGTTGAATTAATTTCAGTGAGCTGGGCTGAAGTCTCTCTGCTGGTAAAGAACAGTGAACTTCACTGACAACACACTGTCCTCTACTGGTAGATACTGGAAGGGACATTTACACAACTCCGTGTTTCGTTAAACGTATTATAATGAAGTCTGAGGCCACCGAGCCCACACTTTCTCAGAGTCATTCTGGCTCAGCTTACTGGCCATTAAAATTGTTTTGCTCTGGGTTTTGTGGGCATTCTGTGAACTCTGCATATCTGTTTAAACCAGCAGCCTGAACGAGACTCAGGTTTAATCATTGGTCTCTCCACAACTGCCAAATCACTGTAGGCTAATCAGTGCCTCTGTTACAAGGTAATGGAGCTGCTCCTGACTCTGGTACTTGACCTCGTTCTGCCTGTAGAGTGCTGCTCTGTGTGCACGAGGGCGCCCCTTACCCCCACCCACACAGGTAAAACTCTACAATTTATTTTCCTGTCTTGTGCATCAACAAGAGGAGAGCCCCCAGTGATGTGTTACAGATTGTTAGAGAAAACTGGTGCAAACCACTCCAGCCCAGATTGAAAGTCCTGAATCAGCTAGGACATCTGCGTCCATGCGTGTTGCACCCTTTACCCTTGGGATGGTAGGTGGTGACTCGACCTTCCTACCTTGAATATAAATGCTACGGTACTGTTGTTGAATTGCTGTCGGTTCGCAACGGTATCCAAGGTCAGAACCCTCAGGCAGGTCAGATTTTTACTCAAGCACCACACAGGTCATTTACTGCCTACTATCAGCATGGCCACCCGTTGGGGACTCTGTGGCGCTGGGAAGATCAGCCATGACTTCAGTGTTGCAATGAAGACTTTGCCTCCAGGTGATCACCAGGTGCTACAACCGCTCAACCACGTCGTCATCCCCTCTTTGAGATGCCTCATTTGCTGCTGACAGAGCAGCAGTGAAATAAATGTTGAGTGTTTTTTTCTTTCCTTCTTATGTGCAGATAGCCGTCATTGCAGCCAGAAGCCTGGAGCGTGCCAAGGAGTTCGCCAAGAAGCATGGTATTCCTAAGGCCTATGGCAGCTACGAGGAGCTGGCCAAAGACCCTGACATTGGTAAGTGAAGAGCAAGTAACAACCTTTGGACAGAGGCACAAAATTAGTGTGTTGTTCCCCCTCCCAGATGTTGTGTACGTGGGAGTTCTACACACAGAGCACTGGAGGGTTGGTCTGCTGTTCCTCAATGCTGGGAAAAACGTCTTGTGTGAAAAACCTTTTGCCATGAACGCTAGACAGGTGAAAGAGCTGGTTGCTGCTGCCAAGAAAAACAACGTCTTTTTGATGGAGGTGAGGGTTTAAAGATGGGTCTGTGTTACATGTTGGATTTTTTTGCATCACATTTATTGAATGAGTATCTTTAAGGCAGGATGTCAGGTTGAAGCTTCAGTTTTATTTCATTAATTTACCAACAACCTTGTTACAGTCAACCTTCAAACAGTAGTTTAAACCTGGGTTATACACATATTAGCATAGCATTTACTCATAGGAAGTAAAAAGCAGTTTAGTAATATACTGGAGATCACAGGAAACTACAGCACCAATGTTATGTTTTTGCAGTGGTGCTACAGGGTGTTGTCCCTTCTATCCCTCCTAGGCCATCTGGTCCCGCTGTTTCCCTGTGTACTCTGAGGTGCGCCGGCTGCTGACGGAGGCAGCAGTAGGGGAGGTGAAGCTGGTAAAGGCCTACTTTGGCTCCCCACAGCTCCACATTCCCCGCTCTGTGAAGAAAGAGTTGGGCGGAGGAGCGCTGCTAGATATCGGAGTGTACTGCCTACAGTTCATCCTGATGGTGTTTAACGGAGAGAGGCCAAAGTCCATCCAAGCCACAGGGGTGCTGCTTGACTCAGGTTTGGTGACCACTGCAGCACAGGCAGCAAATGTATGCTGTAAATGTGTGCCATTGTTTAACACACAGCACAGATTAGTAACTGTCAGTCAGACAAACATTAGAGCAGAACAGAACTGTGTTGTGGGAACAAAATTAAATTATATATATTATATTTAAGGCAGGCTGTTACAAGCAAAAGCTTACCATACATAAAATATATATTTTATATATATAAAATATATATATAAATAATATATATTTATATATAAAAATAAAAAATACACTAACACTGTGAGTGAGTGGAATGTGCGGAATTAAACTTGGATTTCACCATTTTTATAATAATAATAAACAATAATGATAACAACAACAATAACAACAATAAGTGTTGTTGTTATTGTGTTGTTGTTGTTTTTGTGAAATATATGTTATAGATTATTGTTAATTATTATTGTCATCAGGATTATCATTGTTATTCAGAATAATGTCATTAATTTGGTTATTCCTTCTTCCCATATTTCCATACATATTAGAGGTGGACGAATCAGTCGTGGTGGTGATGAAGTTCTCTGGGAATAGAATAGCGTTCTGTTCCTTTTCGATTGCCACTCGACTTCCAAATGATGCCATCATCGCTGGCACAGAGGGCTCCATTCAAGTACGATACACTAGGCTTAATTGAGTAAACGTTGAGGTGCTAAGACTAATGGGTAATTCTGTGTTACCCCTTGTGAACCTCTTTACCTACAGAAAGCCCCTCATTGAGGTTAAGTAAGTAAGTAAAGTCAAGTGTGCGAGCTAACCAGCCCTCCAGAGATTATCAGTGCTGATATTTAAATTTTATACCCCTTGAATTCCATAAAGGGCAAAACTAGTGCAAATATCAATTTACCTCAACACAAAACTTTTTTTTCATATGCCCCAACAGGTTTTTGGTCCTATGCACTGTCCGACCACACTGGTGGTTAACAACAAGGAGACTGAGTATCCTCTGCCTGAACCAAGCTTATCTCTGAATTTTACAAACAGCACTGGGCTTCGATATGAGGCAGAAGAAGTCAGGCAGTGCCTGCTCAAGGGTAACGAAAAACAAAAAATAAATAATCTTGGGTTAAATTATTGACATTGATGTACACAAATATATCAGAAGCAAACATTATTCAACATGAAAAAAAATTACACTTCCTGTGTTAATTTTTTACATACACATATTTATAGTTAAAGATTATAACTCAGGTGTGACCAAGTGCCTTATGCTTGTGTTCAACTCCTCCTCCTTATCCACAGGACTGAAACAGAGTCCACAGATGCCTCTGGCCCATTCTGTCCTCCTGACAGAGATCATGGACGAAATCAGGAGACAGGTGGGAGTTGTCTTCAACCAAGACAGGCACTGACGTGACTCCAGAGCCAAGCTGTTTCATCTGACCCAGACCTGTTCAGGTGGATCAGGTCACAGTTGATCAGTGCAGACTTTGGATTTTTGACTTACACAGATGACTCAGACGACAAAGCCCGAGCTCCATAAATGATTCCTGTTTCAAGGGTTATTAAATTATACAATCAATAAATTATTCCACATTAACATTTGGAAAGCTTTAACCTCTGGTATTGAGGGTTTTTTTTCTCTATGTACTATATATGTATCCCTTTACCTCCAATCAGAGTAATTCTAACCCACAACTATAGTTCTGTATGAGTCTTAATCCGTGGTTATACAGTTTTATTCTCAAAATCCAGTGGAAAACCAAGAAAGTCACGGTGTAAATAAACAGAGCCACAGAAGTGTGTGTCGACATCCTGTAATCAAGTCATCAGCTCTTTAAAGACTAACCCAGCTGTCACTGTGAGGCATGTGATTGATGAATCCAATAAAGGCCTGATTGTGGAAGCCATGTTTTCATTTCAAGTATCATCCGCTGCAGAGAAGAAGAAGAGACGTGGAGTGGCACATCTGAATCAGAGCGTGCTGTCTTGCCTGACCCTTGATGGATAGGACAAATAGATCCATGTTCTCTGAACAAAAAATAGGTTGAACTGTCTGCTATTTTCAAGGCTGAGACAAAGACATGCCGATACGTGTCAGCACAGAGCACAGCTCATTTATTTGGTGTTTGCTCATAATTATTTGGACCCGCTGAACTCTTAAAAGAAGACTACGTGTGGCTAATACACACATCAGCTCTGGAGGCCAAATGTTTTCAGTACAATCACATTAATTTAAGAGGAAATTTAAATACGTATTCATTTCCTGTTGGCCACATCTAGTACTTTGTGACAGAATAACTAATTACATTCATGGTACGAAGTCAATTGGGTTGTGAACAAGTCAATGATCTCAAGGACACACACACAAAAACGTGCACTAGTCCACGATGACAATAAATCTAATAAACTGAATATAACAATGAATAAAAGTGAAGTAATGAGGACACACACTTCACAGAACTAATATAAATTGAAGACCTATTAAAAAGTGTCAATGCTTCATGGCCATTCTTTTCATTGCAATATTCTTTAATGTATACATTGTACCAGCATAAATAGAGGGACTCATTAGGTATCAAATAATGTGTATAAAAATACAAAAGAAATACTTAAAATAGTAAAAGCTGGGGTAAAAATACTACTTCACCTGCAAACAACAACAACAACATCTATATAAGTACTCAGTGATCCTCGTCATTTTATTCGAGGCAGTAAAGTAAAAGGCAACTGGACTGTCTTCTTAGAAAGAAGACGTTTCAAAACAGGAGAAGAATTTTGGATAAAACGGTGAAACGTCTACTTATAATGCTTATAAATAATAATAATAATAATAATCATAATAATCATAATAATCATAATAATCATATACCATACTATGACCCCATACGTGGGCTCCACCTTGTGGCTAAAAGTAGCCATTACCGTTATAAATCACGACGTGGTTACGTCACTTCCTTTATCCAAGTGGTTCACGATTCAACATGGCTACCCGGTGGGGAATCTGCGGCGCTGGGAAGATTAGTAATGATTTCACTGTGGCTCTAAACACTCTGTCAGCAGACGAACACCAGGTACCGCAGGGCTGTCAGTGTTAGTGACGAAAATACTGTAGACTTTTTGAAGAGTTTTGAACAGTCAGTGTTTCTGCGATTAAAATAAAGTTAAGTATGAAAGCTTGGCCAGCTAGCGATACACGAACGATCCGCGTAGCAGTAAATACTTCTCAAAGTACTGTTTACATACATTTAAATATGGTGTTAAGTATAACATTAGTATCAATTGTTATGTTGAACTTTAGGAATATATCTGCATAACTTTTCCTTGGAAAACTTTGGGCTACCGTGTAGAAGGTGATAGAAAACCTTTCTTTTCTCAGGTTGTGGCTGTGGCAGCTCGCAACTTAGAAAATGCACAAGAGTTTGCGAAAACGCACAGCATCTCCAGAGTGCATGGAAGCTACGAGGAGCTGGCCGCAGATCCAGACGTAGGTCAGTGCATGAAATATAAATAAACATCGGACAAAACCCGGAGGCCGGCAGACTTCTACACCATGTACTTTTATACGTGTGTACAGATGTGGTTTATATTGGAGTTATACACCCGTACCACCTATCCACTTGTTTGCTCTTTACAAATGCGAAGAAGAATGTGCTCTGTGAGAAGCCGCTGGCCATGAACAGTAAAGAGGTGAAGGAGATCCTGAGCTCAGCCAGGAGGAATGACGTCTTCCTCATGGAGGTGAGGTTAATGTAGAGCACTCACACCAGTACAAAAAACAACTAAATGTGTAGACGAATCAGACACTAATGCAGGGTCTTCATGTGGTAACTATCGTAAAAACAGTCACGATGTACAGTAGGTTTTGTAATTCGTGGTGTTCACCATATTAAACACAGTCTAAGTGCATATGATTGGTGGATACTATAAAAACAAGAAAATGTGTTGACATTGTTTTGTCTATTCTGTCATTATGGGTCTGCGTGTTAAGTACCATAACATTTCAAAAGCTTATCCTCCTCTTCACTCATATATATATATATATATATATATATATATATATATGTGTGTGTGTGTTTCAGGCTTTATTGTGCCAAACCTCTGACATTTGCTGTATCTGCTGTTTATCTGGTCTGTATTTAGTTAATTTTGTTATTTCAAATGTCACAGCTTCAGTTGAACAAGACTTCTTTCTGTGGACGGCTACAGCACTACAAATTACCTTTAAAACACGAAGCTGTGTTCATAGTAATTTTCTATACAAATAAGATCCTATAAAAAAGACAAAAATAAAGGTTTCATAAAAAATGAATAAAAATGCACTCATTTGCTTTATGGTTAAAATTCGGAAAAAAACCTAATTCTTTTGGTACGTCAACCATTGTTTAGAAGCAACATACTTTACAAATAATTTTCTGAAAAATTCTTAAAAAAATATGAAAATAATTGAAAACAGAATAATTTGCCCTAAAATACATAGTTATGTCTCTTTTAATGGTTGAATTAAAAAAATATATACTTTTGGTATGTCAACCATTGATCAAAAAGCAACATATTATACTAATAAGATTTAGAAGAAGTCTTTGAGAAAAGGTTACTTTTATAGTCTTGTAATTCAGTTACTTTTTAGGAGAAGTAACTAGTAACTATTACTAGTTATCATTCCACACACTGTCCTTGATATTGCGCAGATGCACATGATGCAAATGCAGTCAGAGCCGACAGTCTCAAGTTTACAATTGATTTCAGTGCAAAATAATTTGGTTAAAACCAATTTAATACATGGCAAATACCACGACTAAGACTTTCTTTGGTTGATAACAGCTTTGGTTGATTACAGCTTTAATTACCACCTCAGCGAGTTATTAATAACTGGCTGTTTTTCACTTTAGGCGATCTGGACCCGCTTTTTCCCAGCCTCTGTGGAGATCAGAAGACTTCTGGCCCACGGGGAAGTGGGTGAGGTGCAGATGGTCAAGGCAGAATTCGGTGTCCCATTGATGGACGTACAGAGGTCAGTGAAGAAGGAATTAGGGGGTGGAACCATACTAGACCTGGGCATCTACTGTCTGCAGTTCATATGCATGGTGTACAATGGAGAAAAGCCGGAGTGCATTCAGGCCATGGGAGTCTGCCAGGAGACAGGTGAGGAACAGAGTAGGAAAACCACTGCAGTCGTCGCACAACTTTTGATTTTACCATTGGAGTTACATGGTTTATAATGTTCCAGTCCGGTCTAAACTTTTAGTCAATGAGAGTTTCTACAGGGAGTGTTCATGCCATAAAAGTTATTTTTGAACTCATTTCTTTTCTGTGCCTTCAGGCACAATAAAGTCCCCAAGTGTCATCAGTCATTCAGGCTGTGGTGTTTCCGACATGCTGAACTCATTTTGGTTCACAGGCCGCATACAACCTTATTAGATATCAAGTGGGCCGGACTAGTAAAATTGTAACATAATAAATTATAAATAACAATAAGTCCATGTTTTTCCAGGTATATTCAAATTTTTTATTATTGTTTATATTTAATGCATTCATAATAATTTTACAAAAAATATCCTCAACATGAAGTGTTTGTGTATTTTTTTATTCTCAAAATTCATCAAGTGGACCACTTTTGGCCCGCAGGCTGTATGTTTGACATCCCCGCTCTAGAGATTTCTTTGCACTGTTAAATACTTTTATGCAAATGTGTTTGTGTGATTTGCTGTTGTTCCAGGAGTGGATGAGACCGTGGTGGTCACGCTGAAGTTCTCCTACAACAGAATGGCTGTGTTCACTTGCTCATCCAAGATCCAGCTACAAAATGAGGCCTCCATTACAGGCACTAAAGGCACGATCAGGGTAGGTCATGACCACAGGGCCACATATTGCAGTTTGGGAAATATTATAAAATGCAAAATATTTATAATATAAAAAGATGAGCTCAAGTATGAGGCAGTTATATATTAGTATTATGTTGTGAAAAAATGTGACAAATCAATCAGTTAATATAGTGTCCACTGGTCTTTTCATAGGTCCCTGCCCACATGTGGTGCCCGACCTCATTAGTGGTGAATGGTGTGGAGACTCAGTACCCGTTGCCAGAACCATATTTGCCTCTTAACTTCATCTGCAGCACAGGGATGCGATATGAGGCAGATGAGGTTCGACAGTGTCTGCTTAAAGGTACTATTATATTTTCTATTATATTAAAGGTACTTATACTTATATTTATACATTACTTGTAATACAATTTCTCAACAACCGGTGGCACCCCAAACAATAAAAGTTCTACATGTTTACTTTGTAATCTGTGTAGGGCTGAAGGAGAGTGCAGTTATGTCTCATGCTGACTCCCTTCTGTTGGCAGAGGTGGAGGATGGGATCCGGAGGCAGGTTGGAGTCGTGTATGAGCAGGATGCCAAGTAACAAAATACACACATTTAGGGTGTGATTACCTAACAACTATGATAAAATATGTGCAATGCAACAGGTACATTTGTTTACTGGTAAAACTTGACCTCAATACATGAAAACAACGTACTGTATTTTCCGAACTATACTTGGCTCTGGAGTATTTGTTGCATTTGGTAAAGTCCTTGTGTTAGAGATCTTCAAAAATAAAACTCTCAAAAATGAATAAAAATGCGCTAATTTGTTTCAAAATACTTAGCGATGCCCTATTTGTGGTTAAAAAGCAGAAAAAATATACTTTTTTGGTACCCCATCTTTTGATCACAGTGGAATCTTAGTCAAATAAGTTCCTGAACAAATCTCCGAAAATAAAAGTTTCTCAAAAATGACTAAAAATGCACCAATTTGCCTTAAAATACTTAGCTATGTCCATGTTTGTGGTTAAAATTCAGAAAAAAATTTTTTTTTGCTATGCCAACTTTGGATCACAGTAAATTACTATACCAATAACTTCCTGCGTGGAGGAAGTTCACTGTCACTGCTCACTGTATTCTCTTGTACGAGGACCTGTGACACACACGACTGACATGACGTGGCCACAAAGGAAACATTTTTGTCAGTTTATCAGAGTTCTAATAGGCCAGGTCTGGAAATGTTAATGGTGAGTGTAGCCTCATGTTAACTCAGATTTACAACAGAAACAAAAAC